TGAGAGAGAGAGACTGTAGAAGAAGAGTTACAAGACAAATTACTTGACTCAGAATGAACATTTTCCTCAAGTACCAATGCTTTGTCCTCCAAAGAGAACACAGAATGTGAATAATACATGTATAAGATTGAAGCTACAAAGAAGGTAGAACAAATATCATGGTGCTGGAGTAAGAGTTAATTCATTTATTCAAATAAAATTTTTTTCTGAATATTATGTGCCAAGCTCTAAAAATGGATACTTTGCATAACTTTGTAGAAATTGCATATTCTGCCAAAAAAAAACTATATGAAAATTATATTTTCATTGCATATTGGGGTTTGAACTAGACTTCCATCATTTGAATTGGCTTTCATGCCATCCAGTAATCTCTATTTCTGATGTTTCATAGTTTATAAAGTAGAAAAATAGTTTGCTTTGATAATTTTTGTAACTTTTGCTTTGTAAAAACCTCCTAATGTGGGGATGGGGCTATGGCTCAGTGGTAGAGCACTTGCCTAGCATGTGTATGACACTGGGTTCAAAACTCAGCAGCACATAAATAAATAAAATAAAAGTATTGTGCATCTACAACTAAAAAATGTATTTAAATTTTTTAAAATCCCTACTGATATAAAGCCTGAAGGCTTACACACATTCTATTGCTTAGTTTCAAGAGTACAGTTTCATTCAGGCTAGAGTCAAAATACCTGATCAAAATCTAGTGTTGCATTAGTGACTATAACCTACAATTAAAAGAGCTGATCGCCTCTTGGCATTCATTTTTCAATCTTACTTTTCCAATTTCACACATTAAAAAACACTTATTTGTCCTGTACAATTACCTCTGGCTTGAACAATAAATTGGTATGTTTCAATAATCTGTTCTTTCACTTATTCCCTGCCCTCATCACTGTGCATAATCACTAATCTTAGTTAAAATCTTGTCTATTGTTATCCTACATTTTCACTTTTCCCCATCTCACATCCTAGAGATACACAACCTCAAACCTAACATTTGTTAAAATTTTGTTTTTGAAGTCATTAAATATATATGATCTTATTTTATGCTGTTTAAAATGTTAACCAAGCACTCTACCCTGTATTTAACTGTACAGGATTATCAAAATCACTCATGAACACTTCTGGCATGTATATTAGGCACACACTGCAGTCCAATGGTGTGTGGTGAATGAGTGTGCTTGGGTAAATATGTTCATAGAACATTAGTTAAAATTGAGTCAGGGATTAATATTTACTAGGTAATTTAAATGTAAATATGGAGGCTTCCTTTGAAAAGGAAAGATGTGCTTTTCCCCATAAGGACTTTCATATTTCTGTGTATAATTAGTGTGTTTTCATTTTTATGTGACCTGATTGTTCATGTAATTAATAAAAATATTCTCTTTCAGACTAGAGCAATTAATTCAGTTTTGAAATCTAAGGGAACAAAAAATATGAGGATGAAGCAATCATGAAATTCATTTGGAAAAATAAGAGACCCAGAAAAGACAAAACAATACTTAGCAAGAAGAGTGAAGCAGGAGGTATCACAATAACACTTTAAACTGTACTACAGAGTTAGAGTTTTTAAAAAGGCATGATATTGGCACCAAAATAGGCATATAGCATGTAGACCAATGTACAAAATAGAAGACAGAGACCAACTCACATTAATATAGTTACCTCAAACGAGACAAATGTGCCAAAAAAATACATTGGAGAAAAGATAACCTCTTCAACAAATGGTGTTGGGGAAACTGGGAAACCATAAGCAGCAAAACGAAACTAAACCCCTATCTCTCACCATGCACAAATCTCAACTCAAAGTGGATCAAGGACCTAGGAATTAGACCAGAGACTGCACCTAATGGAGGGAAAAGCAGGTACAAATCTTCATCATGTTGGATTAGGCCCCAACTTCCTTAACAAGACTCCTAAAGTGCAAGAAATAAAATCAAGGATCAGTAAATGGGATGGATTCAAACTAAAAAGCTTCTTCTCAGTGAAAGAAACAATCAGTGTGGTGAAGAGAAAGCCTACATTTTGGGAGTAAATTTTTGACACATGCACATCAAATAGAGCCCTAATCTCCAAGATATATAAAGAACTCAAAAAACTTAACACCAAAAAAACAAACAATCCAATCATTAAATGGGCTAAGGAGCCTGAATAGACACTTCTCAGAAGAAGATATACAATTGATCAACAAATATATGAAAAAATGTTTAACATCTCTAGTAGAGAAATCCAAATCAAAACTACTCTAAGATTTTATCTAATGTCAGAATGGCAGTTATCGATAATACAAACAACAAGCGTTGGTGAGATGTGGTGGAAAAGGCACATTCATACATTGCCAGTGGGACTGCAAATTGGTGCAACCACTCAGGAAAGCAGTATAGAGATTCTTAGAAAACTTGGAATGGAAATACTATTTGACCCAGCTATCCCACTCCTCAGTCTACACCTACAGGACTTAAAACCAGAATACTGTAGTAATGCCTCAATATTTATAGCAGCTCAATTCACAATAGCTAAACTGTGGAACCAAATTATTGCCCTCAATAAATAAATGAATATAGAAACTGGTATACATACACAATCAAAAATCCTCAGCATTAGAAGAGAATAAAATTATGGCATTTGCAGGTAAATGGATGGAGTTAGAGAATATCATGCCAAGCAAAGTAAGCCAATCCCCAAAACTGAAAGGCCAAATGTTCTCTCTGATAAGTGGATGCTGATCCATAAGGGGGGTGGGCATGGGGAAAATGGACAAATTTTGGATTGGGCAAAGGAGAGAGAAAGGAGGGGAGGGACATGGAAGCAGGAAAGATGGTGAAATGAGATGGATATCATTACCCTAGGTTTATGTGTGATTGCACATATGGTGTTTTGCTACAAGGTACAAAAAGAGAACTAAGAAGTTGTGCAGATTTTAAAATTTCAGATTAAATGAAAAAATCCACCCCAATAAAATGAGAATATAAAAACCAATGTGTATAACCAAATCATGTGAGTTTTGAAAACACAGGGCTAGGTATAAAACATGAAGCATTCAATATTATTCATGTAACATACACAGTAATGGGAATGAACAAACAAGAATCATACATGATGTGGGTGACATTTTCACATATAAGAGGTGAAAGAAACCAGGTGCAAAGTATATGTTTTATTTCTATTTTACAAAGTTTAAAAAGAGTCAATAAATTTAGGGTCATTTTGAAATCAAAGTGACTTTGTCTGGTTTTAAATTTAAGTGATTACGTCTGGTTTTAAGATTCATGTGCATGTGATAGTTTGGGAAATGAGAGATGAGGGTAGGAAGGGCAACTGGTTTGTGAAGATATAATGTGAGCATATAACCGATGAAAATATGTTTGTGTTGGGTGTTCTTGGACTGTGTCAAGTTGAGCTCTTGAAGATCTTCCCAGTACGTGCATGTTCAAAGCTATTAATAATTTCACATGCTTCTGACATGTAACATGCTTTCTGCTGGCTCCTGCTGGCACTTTGATCATAGTTGTTCACATATGTCTTATATAATACAATTTTCCCTTCAGTCCACCCTCCTGTGCAACCTCCCATACAACTTTGCTTAAATTTACCTTGCTTGAGAAAATAAATCCAAGTAAGAAATGGGGGTTTTATTTGAAGTTCATGTTTATTTATCTATTCTTAAGCACATAGTAAGAGTCTATTCTGTGATTATTTTAATGAATACATGATGTCCACTCATGTGGATAAAAACTGGTTCCTACCACTAATTTTTTAAAAATATATTACAATATTCATTGCGTCAGTACATGTTCTGGATGAGTGTATGTGCACAATGTGTCATATGTCTATGGAGTATAGACTGTAAGCTATATCCTTTCAACCTGAGCATACTAGTGTTATATTTATCAACTGATCTCATAGTTATCTCTAGTATTTGTTTAAGCTTTCTAAAAGTGAAAAAGATGTGAAGGCATGGCCATACATACTTCATGCTCTTTTCTTTTTAATTTTTCTGGGATATTTATAAGCTAAATTTGCCCAGAAAGCTCTATGATCATGATGACAAAGTTTTCTTCCTTCAAATTCCATGAATTGTGAATTATGCTATGGAGTAAATTAACCATTTTTACCTGTACCAATGCTCTCTCTGTCTGAATTCTTACTTAAGAAGGAGATTTCTTGCCTGGGCTACTTCTATAAAGTTATGGTGTAATGTTTTGGGGTATTTCTGTTTTTGTTTTTGAGAGACAAGTAATCTCACTTGGTGTATAATAAGTAGATAATTAAGATTAATGTAAATATTTATCATCCTCTGACCTATTGATGTGTTTGCTGTTTATGTATCCACATAAACATTCAGATGTGTATGTGCTTGGCCTGTCTGAGTTTATACTGAATAAGATCTTGAATATGCATCGATTTTATGAAGGTGCCTGAAGACAACATTCCTGTCCAAGTGACCATTAGGTAACATACAAGCTGAAAACTTTATTGAAAATATTAGATTATATTCATAAATTTTTGTTGGGAATATCAGATTGTCTTCAGAAATATTAGCCACAATTTAAAATGTTGTGGTTGGCTCCAATTTGTCTCTTACCATCACTAAATAGTGTTCTATCACATAGAAGGGATTTGTTTAGAGTTAATCTAAATATTTAAACCACTATCTCATTTCCCATAAAGAGCCAAATCTTATCTAAATTTAGCCATCACTGTTAAGAAGTGTGTGTGTGTGTGTGTGTGTGTGTGTGTGTGTCTTTTTCTCTTTATATTTCATATAGGATACCCAGGTATCTATCTTTGAGTTTTAAACAAGGCAGTTTTTTTTATTCCTGAGTATATAAAGTAAGTCTATGACTTTATATACATCCCTGTACAATTAGTTTTAAAGTATTTATTTTTTTCAATGTTTGCCTCACTTCTAGGAGCCAATTTAATCTTCATTTTTAAATTTTTATTTTATTGGTTCTTTTTAGTATATATGACAGTAAAACCTATCTTAATATAATTATCTAGGCAGAGAATATTTCTAATTCAGAGTTTTAAAATAGTATTACAAAATTTATAATATTCACTTCCCCAATTTAATTAGAAATATATATAACAAGAGGAAGTCGGTAGATACATAGTGTTGGGTCCAAAGCCACAGAGACAAGACCTGAATCATCTGAATATTTTAACTCTCAGACAACTTGGGCCCTCAGGGAGATGTCAGGAATAGAAGAACATCCCTTTCTTCCTTCTTCCCTATTTCAATCACTTCTCTTGCTCCCCTCATTTTCAACTAAATAGAAACCCTCCCTTCTTCTTTTTTGAAAGGTATTTCATGGTTATCTAAGCCCAGAGAAGACACCAACACATACTTGCTTGACTTCTTTGCAAGATGAGGGATGAATGGGTTGTCCCAATGCTTCCTCTTTTGCTTTTCTTTTATGGTGTAACTCTAGAGTCTTACTCAAAGCAAGTAACTTTCTCTCAGAAGCTTAACTCTCAAAAAGTTAGCTGATTATGAGCAAGAATAAACTTTCTGCTTAAGGAAACAACATATAAAATGGAGCAAGTCTATGTATTCACCAGATCACTGTCTTGAGCAGTGCTCAAGACAACATTAGGTTGTTATGAGGCCAGCTATCACTAAGGCCTCAGTAGTGTATTGTGACTGATTGATGACATCACAGTCCATGGACCCAGCCAGTATTCATGATACTGAAGTATTGCTAAAGCCCATAATCTAAGGTGATTCCTTTACACAGAGAATATTTTATTATTAATTTGAATTTTTATTCTTGCACTTGAAATTTGAACTTTTATTCTTGCACTTGATAGCAAAATGAGAGCTGATATGGATTAAATAAAGGAAATCCTTCTAATATATCTATGAACACTTCATTCCTCAATCTCCCCAATGGTGAGAATACAGCTGTACCACAGAGGGTTAGAATAAACACCATGCTTGTCTCATAGAAAAAGTAAAAACCATATCTCATCACTATCATTTACAGTGTGTAGAACCTTACATGATAGGCATGTTGGAATGTGGGTACAGGTCTGAGGACCTCTCATTCATCCACAAACACCTATTGAATTTCCTTGCAGCTGGCAAAAATCTCATGTAAATTCCTGGCCAGAATATCTATTCTGTCACTTTTTTCTCACCATTTCCATGTTGGCACCATCATTACACTTCGATTTTTTAAGGATTTCTGTTCTCATCAAGCCCATATTTCTCCCTCTACTTGATTCTGCTCTTTAGCCCAATTTGATGTTGAAAAACATACAGGTCCTATACAGAGTTTGAGCTCTGAGAAAGCCTTATATTTTTTTTACTCCTACCGACTTTGCAATGCATTTTGTCTTTGAGGGTCCATATATTTTATCATTATTCTTTTGCTGTTGTTTTGGAACAAGGGATTTAACCCAGGGATGCTTAACCTCTGAGCCACAATCTTCCCCTTTTTATTTTTCATTTTGAGACAGGGTCTTGCTAAGTTGCTTAGGTTCTTGCTAAATTGCTGAGGCTGGCTTTCAACTTGTGATACTCCTGCCTCAGCTTCCTTAGTGCTGAGATTACAGGTGCATGCTACAATCCCCAGCATCATTACTCTTAATAATTATCATAGCTTAGCCTTATTCATTCTCCTTTACCGACATAGCCTCACTACTCTGGGTGTTCTTTCATTTACCATGGCCACTGAGTAGGAGGAATATTTATCAATAAAAATTGTAGCCTCTAAACTAATTTAAAATGTAAAATACAAAACAGTTACTCTCTTGCATGTGACACCATGATTCTCAGTCACACAATAACAAATGGTAAATGCTAATCAATTCTCAAGTATATTCCATTGAAAATCTATATAAGTGGTTAATTGTGCAAATATGTTTATTTATTTATTTCACATTTTGAGATAGGATCTTTTTGTTGCTTTTGACCTTGCTAAATTTCTTAGGGGCTTTGCTAAGTTACTTATGGCCTTGCCAAGTAGGTGAGGCTGGCTTTGAACTTACGATTCTCCCGCCTCAGCCTCTCAACTTGCTGAGATTATAGGGTGTGTAACCAAGTTTATTTTTTGTGAATGATCAGTCTTCATGATTAGGGTAATGCCAGCCTTTACTGGGATAGCCACTGCATATGGCTCTGGGCTTTGTTTTCATATTGTGAAATGTATGCACAGATAGAAGAGTCTATAAAGCACATTTATTTATTAAAAAATAAATATAAAAAAAGATTCATGTAAAAAACATATTTTAAAGGAAAAGAAATAAAGCTAACCCTATTTGTAGATGGTGTTACTTTCTATACAGAAAATGACCAAAAACTTATAAAAAGCAAAACAAAACAAACAGAAAGCACAAAACACTCCTAGAAATCAGCAAGGAAACATTTCCTATGTCAACATTCTAGTAATGAAAGACTGAAAATAATTTTAAAATACACTTCATAATAGTATTAATATCATGAAAAAGTTTTAAATTCAACAAAATGTGCACAAAATCTTAATGCTGAATAAAAACAAAATATTTTTGAAAGAAAAAAAAATGATGACCTGAACACACAGTGTCCATGACTTGGAAGACTTATTATTAGTAGGAAATCAATTACTCCTCAAATAATGAATAGATGTATCATAGCCAAATGAAAATATTTAAAGGAATTTGTTTCTAGAAATTGATAAGATTTGCCTAATGTTGATATAGAAATGGAAATGAACTAGAATATAAAACAATTTGGAGAAATAAAAGTTGAAGAATTCTTACTGATTTTTAGACTTAATAAAAATTTTGTTTTGGCCAATACATAGATATAAACAGCAATAGAACAAAATAGACCCACTTCCATGTTTGTAGAAATATGTCAAAATAGACTCTTCTGACATGTATAACTAAAAAGAACAAGTTAAAAAAATTAAAAAATAGGCCTACTCATAAATGGTGAATGGAGCTTGAAACATTGGTGTATGACTGTAATCTCGGCTACTCGGGAGGTGTGCACAAGAATTTCAAGTTCAAGAAAAGCCTAGCCAACTTAGCAAGACCCTGTCTCAAAATAAAAAAATAAAGGGCTGGGTGTATAGTTCAGTGATAGAGTGCCCTCTGGATTTAATCCTAGTATTTACAAAAGTGAGTTGATTTGAACCTAAGGTGCCAAAGCAATTCATTGATGGAAAGATGATTCTTTCAATGAATGACAATAACAATTAAGTAGCCATACTTTTAAAAATCATTAAATAAATCCTTACCTCAGACCATATGTGAAATAAATTCAAAACAGAACATGGTCATGAATAGAGAACTTAACATTATAAATTTCAGGGAGAAAAGAGTGTACATGGTTACAATCCTGGATTAGGCAAAAATTATGTATATCAACTAAAGAAGGCAGAATCAATAAAAAATTTTTTTGATTCAAAAACTAGACTAAAATTAAAATTTTTAATTTTAAAATTATGTTTCCCCTTCAAAATACGTCTTTAAGAAAATGAAAAGAGGAGCCACAACCTATAAAGGCTATATTTGATAAATAATAATACACGAAGAACTCTTCAAATCTTATTTATTTATTTATGTGGTGCTGAGGATCAAACCTAGTTCCTCACATGTGGTAGGCAAGTGCTCTACCACTGAGCCACACCCCCAGCCCAGAATTCTTCAAATCAAAAACAAAGAAAACTACCAAATTGACCCTCAGGTAATAGAATTCCATAGACACTTTACTAAAGAAGATATGTGGGTGGAAAGCAAGCTAATGAAACGATACCCAACTTCACCAGCTTCAGAAATGCAATATTTAGTATTTGAGTAAAAGTACAGACTTTGTAAAATTCTTCCTTATTCTCAGAGTTTTAAGTTTTTGCTTGTGCTTGTTACATTTTTCACACAGTTTATCAACTGCTAAAATGTTTTTGTATATATATTATCATCGCAGAGCATCTCCCTTTCTCCTCCCTCCTGTCATTGATTTCTGAATATCAGACTAAGAATATGGAATTGAATGTGCATGACTAGGCAACAAATAAATCCACAAGGACTGAGTATCTGACAATTTTATTTTTGGTGTTCAGATAGAATACAAACAAGGAGCACTTAATACGTATGCTTAATGAGGACTTCTGAGGAATGAACTCTAGGGATAGAAACTTGGCTAAAATTCCTCATGGAACTCCAAATCTCCAGAGATGGGGTGTGTATGCCAATCATCCAAACATAACCAGAGACATATGAGTCTGTCTAAATGTTCTCCTCCAGTGAGAAAGGTCATTAATTCTCAGCCTCAGCTGTGAATTTCCCATCATCCAACATTAAGTATGGAGCCAACAGAGATGGAGATTTTTTTGAAAATGCGTGACAGCAGCAGAGAGCAGCCCAATAACAAGGGATGAGGAATGCAGGTGAGAGCACAATTACCTCCAACAATGGATTGATTCATATAGACACAAACACAGTGAGTCACCTTAAGAAAACAAAAACCACTGACTCATTCTTCATATAACCAAGTTTAAAGGGGGAAACATCTTGTGGTCTGTCAGGTACAAGATTTTTGGGTCAGGATGTGCTTGTCTATTGTAGAACAGAGCAACTACATTACAAAGACAAAAATAGAGAAGCCTGTGGTGGATAAGAAAGAAGAAAATGGGACTTGGCAGTGCTAGGTCCAGTTATAATAGGATATTCCTAGATTTAGCCAGAATCTTAGACCCAAAAGCACCATTTCCTACAACCCAAGAAGAGATACTCCTTTGTATGACATTAAAGACTCTGCTCTTCTGCCCTTAGCTTCTCTTTTGTTCCAGTTGCCACTCTACATCCATTCAATGTGGTCTGTGGCTTCATGTGTTGCCCTGGAGGTCAGAGGTAAGGCTTTATTTTAAGGCTCAGGGAACACGAACACTCAGCCATGCGGATATGTCAGACATCTCATACATAGTCATACACTTACCAGGACTCACAAAAGATTAGTTCATGAAGCAGCATACTTAAGTTTAAAAACTAAGGATTCTTCTCACAGACAGGGGTAGGTGCTCTCTCACCCTACAAGCTGTGTAGGAGAAATAATTAAAATCTAGAAGGTGAGTGGTTAATATGCAACCAGTAACAGGTTTCCTGCCAAAGCTCATCTTGTTAGGATCTAAGTCATAAAGTGATAACATAATTTCCAGCAACTGACCATCCTGATGCAAGCACATACTGTAACCCAAAGGCTGTAACAGGAGAATACAGAATCATTTGAGCTTGATGTTCTCAGTGTTGGGGCTTACTGGCAAATCCAACATAAGTGGAAAAGTCCTTGTGGACATCCTATCACTCCTCTCTCTCTCTCTGCTTCCCTTATGGGGAACTATCTGTCCCAAAAACCAAAAGATGCACACCTATTGGTCAAGGCTCTCAATTATCTTGCTAGTCTTGCTGATATATTGATGACATATCACACACTCTCTCCTACAATCCTCAACTACTAAGATCCACCATACACATGTCTCATTAGGAACATCTTCTAGCTTTATCTTATACAGTTTTACCTGTGATGGTTCTGCAAATTACTCCAGGTAAAATGATTTCACATCTCAGCATTGCATCCTTAATTTCACTAAATTGGTTCTCATGGTGATCATCATCTCACTGTTCCATAATATGTATATCCTAGAACCCAAATCCTCAAAGTATTCCCTAGAACATCCTTAACTTCAGCAATCAGATAGCAGTTGCTGCCTCTCACTCTTCCTTTTTCTTAAGATTTTTGTCTCCCAGGGAATGCATCTTCCCTCCTTTCCAACTAAAATACCATGAATCCTTCCAGAGTCATTACATTCACAATGTTTTACTTGACCCCCAGCCATGGTGATTTCTTAGTCCTGACTTTATCATTCAGATGCACCAGGTGATCTTGTTCTTTATCAATTAGTTCACTTTCCTCCAACAGAAAAATAATCCAGATACAATAAGTATCTGCTTTTCTTCTTCTGAGGGAAGAAGAGGAGGAAAAAGGCTGCCCACAGCTACCTGCTCCATGATCAGGTCAGCAGACCCAATAGCTATGATCTACAGTAAAGACATCCTAAAGGTAGCTGAAATATTGGGGATAAACCACCAAGAAGGTCTATGGAAGCTTACAAATTTCCCAAATTCTGAGAAAAAAGCTTTTTTAAAAAGAAACCATATACCTAATTTGTAGGTTTATGGTATAGCACTTAATACAGAGTTTGAAACTTTAAAGTTTTAATCAATTTGGTCATATAACTAAGTGGTATAGCAGTAGCCCCAAGTCCATGAGGCCCTGGGTTTCACCTTAAGCAATGCAAAAGAAAAGAAAAAGAAAAAGAATTTTCATAAATGTAGCTAATCAAAGTACATCCTGAAGGTAACTAGGTGTGGCATAGCATGCCTATATTCCAACATATTCCAGAACCTGAGGTGAAATAATCTAAAGATCAGAAGTTTTAGGCCAGCATGAGCAACACAGAAAGACCACATTTCAAAAAGAAAGAAAGAAAGAAAACCACATGCTTGCTTTATGTAAAAGTAAGAAAAGAAAATGTTCAACTTATTTTGAACTCTGTCTTCTATTAATTTTGTGAATATGGATGAATCACCTAACTGTCTCATTCTTCACTTTCTATTGTGGAAGATAATGCCTCAATTATGAAACTAAGTTACATCTTGTATAAGAAAGAACTGAGAAGCAAAAGGGAATGGAATAGAGTGAATAAAACTATAGCCATTAGTATTTAAACACCATTGAATTTAACTAGACTTCTTCTATAAAGATGCACAATAAGATAATCATGTTGCAGTTAGTACTCAATCTATCAACATGTTGTTCTATACAATGTTTTGGCTCTACTGCTATCATGTAATCTTTTTTCTATGATAATAGGAATTTTAAATTTATTGGTCTTTTCATTGATTATACATGACAGTAGAATCTATTTTGATAAATGATCTTATGGTATGACAATTCTACCCACAGACATGGATGGAAAAAATCAGACAATGGTCACAGAATTCCTCCTCCTGGGACTGTCTGGGAAGTCACAGCAGGAGGAGGTCCTCTGTGGACTGTTCTTGGGGATGTACCTGGTCACCATCATTGGGAACCTTCTCATCATCTTGGCCATCAGCTGTGACCCTCATCTCCATACACCCATGTACTTCTTCCTGGCCAACCTCTCCACTGTTGACATCTGCATTTCATCAGTCACAATCCCCAAGATGCTGGTGAATCACATAGTGGGGAGCAAGTCCATCTCCTACAGAGAGTGCATGTCCCAGATCTACTTCTTCATCACTTTCAGCAATATGGATGGGTTCCTCCTGAGTGTGATGGCCTATGACCGTTATGTAGCCATTTGTTGTCCACTTCACTACACCTTGATCATGAGGCCCAAACTCTGTGTCCTGCTGGTGGCTGTATCTTGGCTCATTACCAACCTGCATGCTCTCTTACACACTCTTCTCATGACTCAACTCACCTTTTGTTCCAACAATGCTGTGCACCACTTCTTCTGTGACCCTTACCCTATTCTCAAGCTCTCTTGTTCTGATACCTTTATCAATGACTTGATGGTCTTCACTGTGGGTGGTTTGATATTTATGACACCATTTACATGTATCATTGTTTCCTATGCTTTCATCTTCTCTAATGTGCTGAAGTTGCCATCAGCCCAAGGGATAAGGAAAGCCCTGTCCACCTGTGGGTCCCACCTCACAGTGGTCTCCCTCTTCTATGGGGCAATCTTGGGGGTCTATATGCACCCTTCATCCTCCTACTCAGTTCAAGACACTGTGGCCACTGTCATCTTCACAGTGGTGACACCCTTGGGCAATCCCTTCATCTACAGCCTGAGGAATCGTGACATTAAAGGAGCCCTTAGGAAGCTAATTCTTAGGTCCTAGAAGTAGAATATTTTAGAAAACAACTCCTGGACATCATGTATTTCTTGTCCTGTTACAAACAGAGAAATAAGGCCACATAGGTATAAAACCCACCCATGACTATGTGATCATGTTCATGCTTTTCAATTTGCGGAAAACAGGTACTCATAGTCCTAAAGCAAGTAATTTGTTATCTGATTCTATGATATTCTGATTCTATGATATTCTGATTCTATGATATTCATTTTATATACAAGAACAACTAAGAAGAGAAATATTTAGATCTGTGTGTTTAGATAACTCTGGCAACACTCTAAGACACTGGCCACCACAATGACCTGGGAATTTCAGATGACATTAGAGTCAACCCTCCTCAGGATCAGCTGCCCTCTCTGGTCTCAGATGAGGAGATGGTACAGGAATCTTGGTTGCTGGTTCATAGTAAGGGCACAAGACTCTGAGACACACAACTAATAGATCTTGATTACAAACGTCCTGGTATTTGCTTATTGCCATGAGAGGTAATTCTTCCTCTGTCCCAAGCCTAACTCTCTCCCCCCACCTCAGAACACCACTCTTTGCCTACCTTCCAACAAACTTTCTGGTATTTTATTACATAGCATAGTTCACAATTTTTCAGAGCCCAGTTGTGCTAGGGCAGTGGGACAGGTTGCCTGGAGATGGCATCTGGGACATGAGGTTTATTAAAAACTGCTTAAGAGAATATCCAGTCGTGAAAAGAATAGATAGCACCTCCGTCCCTCAGGGTGCTTCACCCAGGAGTGCCTCATGTCTCCTAATGCTTTGTCTGGTGGCAGCTGGATAAATATTTTTTCTCTCCACAGCACTGAGTTGTCCAGTTACAACAGGAAGGAGGAATATATAGGTTAGGTTTACATTGCCCAATTGTATGACCAGCATTCCAAGGGACTTAGTAATGCAAGAAAGCAGTATCTATCTACAAAAACACGAAGTTGTCCTAAGCTCCCTGAACGTAGCACAGATATTCAATGCCCTGCCAGTTATTCTTACCTAGATATTCCAGCCCAGGACTGCTCTTATTGTTCCCTTGACTTGGATAGAGTCCTGGGAATGGAACAGGGAATTTCAAGGACACAGTGTTTCATAATCTTTTTCTACAATGATGACACAATATAAATAGAGTTCTTATTCTCCTAAGTTATCATGTGTTGAAGAATGACTGATGATATGTTAGGTAATTAATGGGTGAAAAAAACCAGAATGTCTCCCTAAAGTCAGGATTTTTAACTCAAAACTGTTATAAAGGAGGTGCTCCCTCTGCCTTTCCCTCTGTTTGCCTGACAGCAGGACAGATATTCACAGGCAAAAGTCTTTCTAGCCTTCCCTGCTCTTACCAAGCCCCAATGCTGAAGACATAAATCTAAGTTCACTGGAGAAGATGCTTATTAACAAAGAAGCAGGACTAGCAGATGCCAGAGAATTCTGGGAGCAGACATTGCAACCTTCCCAGTGTTTTCCAACCTGGAAGCCAGAAACATTTGTTCCTTTGTATTGTCACCCTCAGATTAATTGATTGCTCTTCCAAGCCACTGCTTTGAGAGAGGGTTACTTTCCTGGGAGAGTAGCTTGTATTATGTGTGACACACATGGTGTGTATTTAAACTTGCTTTTTAAGAATTTCCCCTCTTATTGATCCACCCTTTGTTAAAAGGAGTCAGTCCCAGCTAAGAACCTTTGAGGGGGGCTGGGGTTGTGGCTCAGCAGTAGAGCGCTTGCCTAGCACATGCAAGGCCCTGGGTTTGATCCTCAGCACCATATATAAATAAAATAAAATAAAGGTATTGTCTCCAACTGTAACTAAAAAACAAATATTTTTTAAAAAGAACCTTGAGGGCAAGGACAAGAAATTATGTTTTTCTCCCCTTCATGAGACACTGGGAAGCAACATTTCCAGATATCAAAATTCAGAGCAGTAAAGTGTACAATCTAGGGAACTTGAGAACTGACAGTTTCTGCAGAATGTGGAAATATTTCACTAAATTCTGAGTCCCAACCAAGAAATAGGTTGAACGTAAGGAACACTAATTTGGGGTATAGGTCTTATGCTTCAGTCTCTCTCTTCCTCAAGCCTCAGTCAAAACGGGTGTGAGGAGATAGATGGAGATAGAGACTGACCATATCGGAGTGTTCAGAGCAACAGTAAGTCATTCTCCATCCCCTAGTGTCCCACTACTACAAATTCATTATAAAAAGTCACTCTTCACTGTAGAGAAAGGCTTGCTGAAAGGGGCAAAGGATCTCCTGCAAGGTCAGTATCAGGGCATGAGTAGAAAAAGGAAAGGCCTCTGTCTAGCTTGGCTTGTCCGTGGTGGTTCTGCACTGGCTACTTCTGCAATAGCCCCATACCTGTCATCCTCTGCTGGCTGGGCACCACCTTCCCCTGCATCTTCCATGACTCCATGCTTCTTTTCTCATGGCCTAGCTACATAGGTGGAGCACAGGGGAATTCAAAGTTTATGCCAGGGGCCCAGGTTATGGTGCCCCCACATTAGGAGCTCACAGGACATGAACTGCTCATAAATTAGAGCAAAGTATCACGAGGGCTCTCTAGTGCCTTCTCTGCCTAGAAGCAGATGCCATCCCAGGCTTACAGAGTGCTCTCCTGGGTCAGCCAGGAAATCAGAATTGTGTCTGGTGATTTTCCCTCCAGGGTCTGAGTTAGCAGAGACCAAGCCTGTGCCAGGAGCCTCCTTTCCTGCAGCCTGGACTCCTGGGAGCCACCACAACTTCTTCCCTACAGGTAGCTGCCTCCTAGTTATAATTAGTCATTAGAGGCCAACTCTTTGCAAGGCAATTAAAACAATTATGGGAAAAAAGTTGAACTTGAGTTCGGTGAATGTTGAAATAGAGGGTCATTCCTCATGCCTGCCCAGTGCTTCAGATACTGCTCTCCCCAGAGGGACAAGGAACTCTCCCATGCCATGGCCAATGGAGATATTTTTCAAAGTTCATGGAATCAACTCGTGTCAACTGGTCCTTTAAGTTTCCACTCCAAGTCTAAGCTCAGGTTGACTTCCAAAAGAGCCTGGTAATGTCACTTATGAGCTGAAGAAGCCCTTCCTGTTCTCTACTGGTTATTGTACCCATCTAGAGGTGGTTGTTGTTCTCTTGTGTTATTTTGTTTCCATTCTTCAGTGCAGAAGCTCAGCTTTCTAGTACTTTATCTCTCACAAAGTCAATGGGACTTCAGCAAATGATTTGGTTGTGGCCATTGGCCTTTTGCCACATGGACATTGAAAAACTGACTTTATCTAATTGGCAAGCTCTAAGTACTAAAAAATCTGGCCCTCTAGACCAATTTCTCATGTCTGAGCCTCAAAGCTCTGTCAAGTCTATTTTCAAATAGGCCATTTATTACTTGCTCTGAACTTCCTGCCTAATGTGTTCCTAGTCAAAATTACTTTTGGGGGCTCCTAAAAAATAGCTTGCTTTAGGCATGAAAATGGAAAACAAAATGAGCCAGGAGCATCTTGTAGTGTAAGAAATTTGGAAGTGACTGCTCCCCCCCTCAAGAAAAAAGAGAAGAAAAAAATGAGGAATAGGGGAATACCAAAGAAACATAGCACTCAAGCTGGAAAAGCTCCAAATGATCAAAGCTGGAACAATTCAAAAAACAAAGTATTACAGATTGAGCATCCCTGATCTGAAAATTCCTAATCCAAAATTCTCCAAAGACCAAATTTTTTTTTTGAACTGGGATTGAACCCAGGGCTCCATGCATGTGAGGCAAGGGCTTTACCACTGAGCTACATCTCAGCTCCTAAAGACCAAAATTTTTGAGTCTGACATGACCTCATGGAGTTGCAGTCAAAACCCAGGTTCACTAAAAATATTGTATAAAATTACCTTCTGGCTATGTGTATAAGAAACATATATTTTATGTTTGTGTTTATAGTAGAAACATAAGTTTCATGTTCATGAACATGAATTTTGTGTTTTGACCTGCTTACCATCTCTAAGATGTCTCATTATATATGTGTAAGTATTCAAAATCTGAAAAGTCTCAAACACTCTGGTCCCTAGTATTTCAGATAAGGGCTATTCTAGCTCTACTGGATTATAACTCAAAGTATAAAATAAATGTAAATAAGTCCATAGTGATGAAAAAAAGTGATTGGATTAGAAAATAAATTGGAAGAAGAAACAAACTTTCTTTTCAGAATATTTCCAAGTAATATATGTAGACACTTTCCCCAACTCCAACCACACCCTCCAAAGTGTGAAGTTTAACCGTCTCCTGTCCTCTTCAGGGTTGGCTGGACCTGGTAATATTTTGCCAAAAGCAGATATAGAAAAGGAAAAAAAATTATAGTGTAGAAACTTGATAAATATTCATTAGTATGTATTTCTTATCTGTGATATTTCTTTTTTATCTTTTATTGATTTTGTTATTTTTTTAAATACACGGCAGCAGTGGAATGCATTACATTCTTATTACACATATAGAACACAATTTTTCACATATAAAGTATGTTCATGCCAATTTATGCCTTTATACATGTACTTTGGGTTTTTTTGCATTATACTTTATATATATATATATATATATATATATATATATATATATATATATATATATATCACAATTTTTCATATCTATGTTTGTATATAAAGTATGTTGACACCTAATTCAAGATTTCACACTCATGTACTTAGTATAATGATGTCCATCACATTACACCATCCTTATTAATCCCTTGCCCCCTCCTTTTCCTTCCCACACCTCTTCCCTATCTAGAATTAATCTAATCCTCCCATGCTCTCCCTCCCAACCCCATTATGAGTCAACTTACTTACATCAGAAAAAAAACATTCGGTATTTGTTTTTTGGGGATTGGCTAACTACACTTAGCATTATCTTCTCCAATGCCATCCATTTACCTGCAAATGCCATGATTTTGTCCTTTTTTAATGCTGAGTAAAATTCCATTGTGTATATATGCTACATTTTTTTATTCATTCATCCACTGAAGGGCATCTACATTGGTTCCACAGTTTAGCTATTGTGAATTGTGCTGCTATAAACATTGATATGGCGTTTCCCTGTAGTATGCTGTTTTTAAGTCC